TACTACTGTTACTACTGTTACTACTGCTACTACTGCTACTACTGCTGCTACTCCTACTACTACTACTACTACTACTACTACTACTACTACTTACTACTACTACCACCACCACCACGACTACTACTACTACTACTACTACTACTGCTACTGCTACTGCTACTGCTACTGCTACAGCTACTACTACTACTACTACGACGACGACGACGACGACCAGACCACGACCCCGAGGATAGACCCTACAGCCTAAACCCCTTTTTTTACGGAGGCCCGTAAACCGTAAACCATGAACCCACGCGCATCGAGCCGAATTGCCTTGGCGCTGTTGCCGCACTGCGATCGCTCTGGATCTGCAGCCTCAGGGCGCAGCCCCATTTCGTAATTAGGGTTTATTAAGCTCTTTTTCCCTCGGTTTAGGTTTTAGGGTTAAGGTTTCGGGTTTGGAGGTTAGATGTACCATTTCTGGCTGTTGGGGCTCACGGTTACGGATAAATGCCCGTGGGATTACAGAGGGCTGACTGTATCATAGACATATGGATCCTGTGCAACATGCCTTGTCCCTTTCCTGGCTGCAGCCATTGCTTGAAAAGCTGAATGACCAGAAACGCAGGTTCGAAAGGGTCCAGATCAGCAGTATTCCCTCGATGTATACACTGTGACTGTGCGCCTTCTCGTGGTCAGGTGCATCCTCCTCCTTGCGCTTCGAGAGCCGCAAAATACCTCGCAAAACTTGAGGTTGGCAGTGGCTTACAACTTCATGACGTGCCAAAACTACGCTGTGCTAGGTCAATATTACATTTCGAGGCAAGTCGACAAAGTCCTCGCATCACCTTAAGGTTGAGGTTTCTGGAGTTTCTGCAGTTCAGGACTTCCCTTAGTCTCGCGTGCGTGCTTGCTAGGGCCTTGAGGTTTAGGGTTCCGACTCGCGCAACTTGCACAAGGCGTACAAGGATCCTCACAAGTCGACGCAGGACAGAAGACTCTGCAGGCAGCGGCTCGGAGGGGGCCACGGCCCAGCGGGCACCCAAACAACAATCAATCATCCCCCCCAAACTACAAACCATAACCACCAACATCCATCCCACCTCAGCGTGCCCAAACCAAGGGAGGTGTTATCACCAATTCGAATCAGCATCTGTTTCAATTGAACGAATACGCCTGCAGGCAGCAAGCTGAGCCACAAATGCAAAACTAACACACTGCTAAGGCACATCCGAACCCAACAGCACTGCTGACGAACTAAGGGGGGTTGAGGCTTTAGGGTTAGTTGTGTGTGGTGTGCTGATCTGAACTGTTTCTTAGTATTTACATTGTTGGTTTACGTGTTAGGGGGTTTCAGGTTATAAGGTCCATATAATTTACACACAGCACCAAACCACACACACATACATACATACATACATACATACACACACACACACCTTCTCCCTCTGTCCACACACAACTCTACATGTATGTGTATTTACATGCCTATGTACAGTGTGTTTATATACATATATAACATGTGCACGCATTCACACACACACACACACTCACATACCAAATCAATTTTGGTGCATGCGCATATCTCTTAGAATCTATTGTTAGACATGCTCTGTAAGATTTGCCTTGGTTTCGGGGCTGGTTCTCCCCAAGCTTGTGGCTGTGGAAGCCTTGTTTCTGTAAGCTTCACTTGAATGTACATGTTTGACAAAAAAAGCTCCCTGAAACACGGAAGCCCTGCGCCTCGCGACTCCATACCCTACTTCCGTACGGTTGATGATATAAATCTGGCATGACGCATAACAAGGATTATACCATAATTCCCATAGTTTCGGCGCAGCCCGGCAGCTGGATTCCTCACATCTGGGGCCCCACCCTGCCGCATACGCCAATCACCGACACAGCCCACCGATGATTTACATGATCGCTCGTTTGACCTGGAAAGCAGGAGTGGAATTAGAAAGACGTGATAGCGGGATGTTTATTATTCTGCTTATAGGGGCGCCAAAATGACTTCGTACGTCAAAGTTCGAAAGAGCTTCCCACTAGTGTCTGGACGTGCCTTCGGTCACGTAAACAAGGTCGCCACCGTCAGGGGGTCGCTCACAGAGGTAGGCGAAAATATCGGCATCCTGGCTGCTTGGCTCTCAAGTGTCTCTTTCGGACTGTAGGGAGAATGTTTCATTTTAAAGCTCCGAGTTTAAGCTTGCGGATCGTCAATGCGTTTTGGTTGGGAGGTCTTGGTGATGATACTTCGGGCAAGTTCTCAGGTTGTCATTGAGGCAGGTCCCAGTACCAAGTTAACCCTAAACCCTAAACCCTTGTTGCATTCAGGCTCCCGGCTCTCTTGGCTCGGGCATGGCAAATAAATATGTGGCAGTCTGCAAAGACAACCATCAGCCAGCCGCTCACCGCACAGTCTTACCCGCCCATGCGTATCAACGAGCAAGCTCGCACTGCTACGCCTGCATGTTGGGAAACAACCTTCTATCTCACCAGTTCTTGACTTCACAGCTGGCCGTGGCAGGATGTCTCGAAACATTTGGCGCTGGTCGAAGGTGCATTCACTACACCCGACTCTGAAAGTTGGCTTGCTCTCCATCGAGACTCGCGGCCAGTTTAGACAAGAATGGCCTGCTAAGAAGACGTACTTGCTGTGGCACGGCTTGGGATGACTGCTCCTGTGTGACTACATATGTGGTCAAAGCAGCATTCGGACAAATGCGCAAGACTTTTAATGCCGATGAAAACTAGGAAACCTTAAAAGGGAGCATGCTTGTGAAATTCTGAAATGTTGGCATCAGATCGTCCTCATGGATATCGAGCGTGGCGAACAGGTAGGAGAGTAGTGCAAGAAACGCAGTGCCAACATTGGCCAGAATGCGCAGGATCAGTCCCGAATCAATGAGAACACCAAACATTTCCACTCCACATTGGTTTGCCTTTAGGTATGTCAGAAAGCGTGCGTGGTCTTCGCGCTCATCATCAACTCGGTCGTAGCCTCCTTTCTTGATGTCAGTGGGGCTATATGGACTGGGGCCAGACTGAGCGATTGCGAGCGACATGATGCTTTCGCTTGTAGCGGCTGTTGACATGCACATGCGGGTGATGCTGGCCATCTCCTGCAGTCTTCGTGCGAAGCCACGCACTTCGAAGCCTATACCCAGCAAGCTGGCAAGAGCCACAACAACACTCGTACTGTTGACGGCTGCAGACAAGCAAGCCACCAAGCCAATCATCATAAAGAGCACCACGTGAGCTACATCAGGCACAGCAACCCAAGTGGAACGCATCCAAGCGCTCTCAATCTTAAGGTCCATCCGGTAGTGCTTCTTCGTCATGTCCTGCCAAAACTTTCCGGTGCCCTGCCACTTTCCTGGGCCATCGTTCATGTCTTCCATCAGCTCCTGCACGAGGCACCTGCTCAATTTCTTGACATGACGAAAAACATGTTTGTAGCCAGGTGAATAAACCGCCATCCATCCAACCAACCAAAGCCATCCAATGAAGTAACTCGTGTCAAATGCGAAGGCTGGGCGAAGTGAGATGCCGAACAAGAGTCCATAGACCAACACATCTTTGATCACGAGCAGGACAGACTGAATTTGACACTCAAAACGGAAATCATGCACATCACGCTGTGAAGTGCTTTCTTTTTCAGACGTTGGTGTCTCGTAATGCCTCAACAACTGCCTAAATTCTTCGCTTTCCAACAGGGTCTTGGCTGCACCCGTTGCGCTCATGGAACAGATGGTAGCCAAGCCTAGCAGCACGGCTACCATGCGAGTGGCCTTGGCCCCATAGACGTGGACTAGGCCCACGTTAGGACACACAGCACCGTAGGCGCAGAACAACAATGTCGCCAGGGCCCACAGCAAGCCTGTAGGGGCAAAGCTGAAGTATTGGAAACACCTCCTGGTTGTGGTACCCAAGAGCTGCTTCTCTTCCATCTCGTCCCATACACTGAGGCTCTCTGTGTGCAGAAAATCATAGTCCGCCGGAGGCATCAGAACAACGGAACAATTTAAAATTTCGGCCAGAAGCGCATGTACAGGGCCTGTCCTACTAGTTAAACCGAGAAAAGGATTTGGATAACCGGATAATTGGATTCTCCAACCGGCATTCTCCCTGATACGACTCCATCATACCTAAAGCGCCTCCATGTTGCACCACTTCAACCAGTCGTGGTATGCTTCAGCTCTGCTCTACTTACGTCGCTACATACATTGGCTTTCCCATTTCGCCAAAGACGTGGAGCTTACCTGATGCTGCTGTCGGGCAGGCTGCATGCTGCTGGAGAGGGTGGTTGCTTCTTTTTATGTTTCTCATCATTTCTCATCCCCAATATCTGTCGTTTGAGCCGGCACCGGAATTGCACACAACTGGCAGTTGCTGTAAGTTGAGATCAGTATAAATATAAAGTCTAGTGAGGGGCTGGATGAAACAGCAATTTGAGAATCTAGCTCTGAGAATCTAGCTCTACGCAGACACTGACGGAAACTAGCGATCTAAACTGACCTTGTGCAAGTCGGACAAGGAAACCCTACCCACGTGATATGCAACAGAACAGCCTTGCGCAAGCCCAGGTACCACATAATGCCGCTGATCTGCCGAATGGAAATCTTTTTCGGCAGCTTGATGAACCAACTGCGACTCGGAGCACAACTCCCCTAAACCCTTTTTGCAACAGGCTTTCCACTAAAACCCTAAACCCTAAGCTCCCAAACCCCAAAACCCTCTAAAACCCCTTCCTCTCTAAAACCTCGAACCTCAGCCCTCCAGCCTAGGCCTGGCAAGCCCCATGGCCCTAAAACCCGTAAACGCTGCAACCCAAAAGCCGAAACCCGGAGAAAGCGGTTTAGGGTTTAGGGTTTAGTCCTTATAGAACCCTTTTAAGAGGATCCCATAAAGGGCCCCAAAACCCTGTTCTAACTATTAAGGCCCCTACACTGGGGTTTACCTAGAAAGCCAGTTTACCATAATTTGGGGTAACTGTTGCCCCTTATTCCTTTAAGTTGTATATATTTATGGGCAACTTGGNNGGCTTTCCAGGTAGGGTTTAGGGGGCGGTCAAGGTCTGCTTTTGGCCTCATCGCCGGCGCCCCGCAGTCGCAGGGACAGCACAGGAGAGCCTGGGCTTCCATAAGGAGCCCCAAAAACGGTTATGGGTTTAGTATGTGTTTAGGGTAGGGTTTAGGGCTAGGCTTTAAAAAGGAGCCCCAAAAAAAGGGTTTAGGGGTTAAGGGTTTATGGGCTAAGGGGTTTATGGGTTTATGGGTTTAGGGTTTATGGGTTTTGGGTTAAGGGTTTATGGGTTTAGGGTTCTGGGTTTAGGGTTATGGGTTTAGGGGTTATGGGTTTATGGGTTTAGGGTTTTTGGGTTTAAGGGTTTAGGGGTGTAGGGTTTATGGGTTTCTGGGTTTAGGGTTTATGCGTTTTGGGTTTAGGGTTTATGGGTTATGGGTTTAGGGTTTATGGGTTTATGGGTTAGGGTTTTGGGTTTAGGGTTATGGGTGTTGGGTTTAGGGTTATGGGTTTAGGGTTCTGGGTTTAGGGTTATGGGTGTAGGGCTAGGCTTTAAAAGTGTAGGGCAATGTACTGTAGGGTCTAGGGTGGATGTTTGGCGCGTACACTCGGACGAGCCCAGGAAAGGTCCGAAAACGAAACTGACATGGGCTCGGAGTACGACTCCCTCCCCAGCCCCAGCGTCGGCTAAGGTATCAAATGGGTGTATCCAATGTACAGGCCAGCGCCAAGGATACACACGGTGCTATAACTACCTCATGGACGAATGCTCAGCCGGCGGACAATCAACCTGCACGCAACATCCATCCAGGCCCCGGGTCTGTCTGCTGAGCCGGCTTTAGACAGGTGTGGGGTTTCAGGGCTAAGGATTTAGAGGACTTCTAGAGGCTCCTTTTCGGGTCGTAGGATGAGGATCCTGCTATTTGGGGTAGCTCTCCTTTGTCTGAAACTCGCACGGGCCCCGAGCGAACCTCAAAAGTTGAGGTTGGAATGGCAACACACGGCTAAACGAAGGCATGAACCCGAACTACCCGGCAATTGCTGTTTCAATTTCGAACTCTTATACAAGTACATATACAACCTCAAAATCCCCAGCAACTCTTATGGAGTCCTTAACGAAACAATACAAAAAATAGGCAGACCCCTTAATTTGAAGAAATTCTGAAATTCTCCGTGCAGCCAAGTTTCCGAGCATGGCGACAGCAGCTTGCAATGCCGGGGTCCTTGAATATATGCTCGAAGGCTTGTGGTTTCAACTCTCACACCTGCTCAAAGCAGGCAATACTGTACAATGATTGGTTTAATCAGGGCTGGTTGTCTCTGTCCAGGTTCGGGATTCATGAGTTTAGGGTTTCCGTCAGTCATACGCCGCGTGGCACGTGGGCAGAAATGGCAGACAGGACAGCAGGTGGTGGCCGCTCGAATAATACAACCCTACTCTTACTTCAGTAACCCATTCCCGTCTCGGTCGACATACTCGTCTCACTTACCTGCTGGTAGCAGGCTGAAAGGTCCCAGGTCGTAGGAACGCCCAGATACGTGCAAAGAGTGGTCCCGTGGAGATCTCAAGCCCTTTCCGAACAAAGTAGAACCGAAAGTGGGCAGTATCTGCCTCTGGGCTGAGGCTCAGGATGATGTGGTTTAATTCTATGTGAGCGAACGGTTTACCCAAGCAGCTAAATCCTGCACAATGTGCGGAAAAAACGCCGAAAACAAAAGCACAAGCAGCAGCAGCTTTGCACAGCGTCCCACACCGGCACGGGTGTTACGAATTACCTGCACTGGGCTGATGGCTCGTACGTTCTAGGCCTGTCAAACCAAAAAGCTGTGAATTGAACAGTTATGGGGCTCAAGGGTTTTGGGGTTATGGGCATCCGCAGAGTCCGCAGGCAGGCGAAAGGCACTATGTTGTCCCAGAACGCCAACAAAGGCCCCAGATCCCAACAACCCAATCTTCAGTCCCCGACCCTTAATCCCGAAAACTGCTTGAGGGGCTGCAACATCACGAAGCCCGAAGCCCTAAACCCGTAGACATGATTTGACTAAAAAACCCCAGAAGGATGCTCAACCCCTGAACCGCATTAACCGCGAGACCCCTGAACCCTGAAACCCCGAGACCCTTAAGCCCCTAAAGCTCCCCCTATAAACCCCAAGACCCCTAGACCCTAAAACTCCTAAACCCTAAAACGCTGAGAACCCTATAACCTATAATGACTATGATGCCCTAATTGCGGACCCGGATGCTCGAACAACAGCGCCTTCCCAGAATCGATTGCCGACCTCAGGGTCCAAGCTGGCATCAAGCTTCCAAGCTGGATTGCAGGGTTTGGGGTTTAGGGGTTTAGGGTTTAGGGTCTTTTTGGGGAGGTTTTTTAGGATTTATGACCCTGTCTATATGGGTTTGATGCTGGTTTCAAAGGGTTTTATAGGGATTTATTGCACCAGGGCCTAGGGCTTAGAGATAGGACCCTCAAGGACTGCACAGTGGTACATTTGGGTTCTGGGGTGTCGTGACTCCATACTTGCTAAAAAGGGCTATGGCGAAAGACTCAAAATGACAGTTTCTTGGGTAACCCACTTCCAGAAATCATGGGAACATGGCTCATGAAGTCCCTGGACCCTAAACCCTAAACCCTACCTAAAGCGGACTCTAAGTCTCTAAGTTCCCTGAGCCGTAAATACTGCTTAGTAGAGTTTCAGCCCACGAACACCAACACCGAGCGATATCAAGCCTTCATGATTTGAACAAGACCACACTTCACTACAGCTACAAAAACGTACAGTACTAAAGTAACGAACCCTGACGAACACTGCTGGGAACTCTTCGGGCTTCTACATTGACGAATGGAGCACCATGGTGAAGAATCCCAGACTCCAAGCTCTTGTGTTTAAGGAACCTCCGGACCATAAATCCCCCAAGCTTTTGAACATTCCGATGCCGAAGTCCCCTAAATCCTTCTGAAGACTTCCGCACTCAACCGGCCGGGTCGCTGCTTCCACTGGTACTTTACCAGATCCTAAGCACGGCGGGGCGAGCGATCTTTGGGGTTTTCAAGAAGATAGGGCGTAGGGCTCTTAGTGCTTAGGTTCAGGGTTTAGGGGCTGCTACCACTGCTTGCAGCTTTTGCTACTGTTCCTATTACGACTACCGCCATCACGAAAACCATAAACCCTCCACACTGAGCCTTGAGCCCGAAGCCCTTATGCAGTCGCAGGCTCTTCAATGTCCAAGTGCCCATGTGCACTCTTGTGATTATGTGGCAAGCTTTTTCAACTCACAGGTAGCCTCATGTGCTCAGCAAGAGCACATCTTCACTTTTCCCTTGTACACACTATAGATAGAGAGAGAGAGAGAGAGATATATATATATATATATGTATATGTGTGTGTGTGCATGCATATGTACAAACATGTATACATGCATAATGTGAACATCACATGCTTTGTGGGCTGTCAACGAGCCGCCTTCTGCTCTTTTTGGAAGGCATTCCAACATGGATTCTACACACCCCTGATGTCTATGAGAGGGAAGATATACTACGCCGACAACGGTCTTCAAGTGTGGTAATATTGGGTTCTGATTAGTGTGGCGGCTTCCCAACCCCGCCCCCAAACCAAAAATGGCTCAATAATGTTGCTCTCGGTCCCCGGACAATTCTGTGGAAGAGGGCTAGTCGGAATCATATTCGGAGCATTCTGCATGTTTTGGGTAGCGGTAGCAGTGACAAAAACAGGCCGGAACAACTTTCCAGTATTGGCATCCTGCGTACTAATCAGTGCCCCACATTACTTCAAAGTAGAGACTCCTGCTTTCGTGGTTTCGATCCAACGAGTTCAGCTCATCAGCTGCTTCTGGATTCCAGGGAACCCTATACCTTGGGCAGCTCCAATGCAGTCGGCACCTCCAAGCAGTGGGTTTGTGATACTGTGACTACCGAGGGACTAGAACGGCACAGGGTATACAATTCAAAACGTAACTACT